TGGACTTAGTTTTATAGACAAGTTCGAATATTTTATCATATGTATGTCAGTATCTATGTCATTACAGTAGTCAACAAATAAATATTTGCCTCACTCGTTTCATATTTTTTTGTTTGTTTGTTTTAAAACTTTATTCCCAGTTGCGGATGGGACCCTGACCTCACCTAATCCTTCCCCAAGCCACGAAACAGAAAATAAAAATAAAATAAAATAAAAATACAAACAAATTAGTTAAAAAGAAAAAAGATTTAAAAATTCATTTAAACACTTAGTTTTTTCAATAAATTAATTAATTAACCTTTCATGAAAAAAAATATATTTTTTTTTTTTGTTATATATAAAAATTTCAATAAAAAATCTTTGTTTTTTTTTTCATGTCTTGACTTTTGTAAAGTAATTTGGAAATTTCCTAAAGCATACCAGTTTTTTTTTTCTTTTACTTTCACTTGATAAATAGGAATTTTGAAAATTTATTTGTATATTATGGTAACTTTCAACAACTTAGTAATACCACCCGAAAAAAAAAATTGACATTTAGTGACACATACTTTCTTTTACAATTTGACTTTGCGTATAGTATATAAACTAATCAAAACTTCTTAAAATATAAATATAAGCAAAAAATTCATTTCCGTCTTTCTTTTTTTTTGTGTTTCCTTTCCCTAAAAAACATGTGTGGAGTTTGGGAGATTTTTTTTTTTTTACACGGATCCCGGATATATTACACATTTTTTTTATTTTTCAAACTCGTTTCTTATTTGGAAAAATACAAAAAAATTATAATTTAATTTAAATTATTTAAATTATAATTTAATTTAAATTATTTAAATTATAATTTAATTTAAATTATTTAAATTAAAATCAATACTTGTTTTTATATAAAACAAATTTAACATTTTTTTTTTTTTTTTTTGATTTTTAAATCTTTTTTTTTTTTTTTTTAATTTAAAAAATGAAAATAAATACAGGGTATTTGCCAAAGGCTTAAAATTAAAATTTCTGTTCGATCATGTAAAAATATAATTTTCAACATTTTTTTAAATTTAATTTTAGTTTAATTAATTTCTAAAAGTAAAAAAAAAAAAAATTTAAGCATAAGGTTTTAGTTAATTTTTGTAACATCAGTTCCTTTATTTTAAAAGATTTAACCAAAATTGCCAGAGAAAATTTTTAATTTAAATGTTCAATTCAAAAAAAGAGTTCCTTAAAAGAAATGAGGGAAAAAAAAATTGGCTATAGAAAAATTATTGATTTTTATTTGGGACTTTTCATTTTTAGATGAAGTGGATTTGCAAATAATATATACATTATTATTATTATTATTATTATCAGGAGGATAATGAGGACTGGTATAGGCCTAGGGTTCAGAGAAACCCATAAAATAGTAAAACAATTTGCCTACTAAATTTTCATAAGGAGAGTTTATCATATTTTGATAGAAATTTGTTAGTGGAACCTAATTTTAAAAAACAGTCTGATAAATAGATCATATGCAAAGTAGGCAAACAATTGAGCTAGAAAAATAGTAAAGAGATACATATTTAATTTTCTGTAAAATACAAATTAGAAACATGACATAATCATTCCATCTTAAATAAATCAATGGTTAATTTTGTTTGTTTTATTGCTTTCGTTAATTTTTTAACATAAACTTGAGATCCTCCCCTTCTGTTAAAAAAAAAAAAAAACCATTGTCAATTTTAAAAACATATTCAACATTTTAATAAAAAAAAAAGTGAATTTTTTTATATATATATATATATTTTTTTTTGAGACTTAGGATTTATAGTGAAAACAACTTTACGCATTTTTGCAAAATGACCCTCGTTTCAGAATGAAATCAAAAATATTTTGAAAAATATTTCATTCTTTAATAATTAGTCAGTTGTGTTTCGTTTATTTTTTGCAGTTCATTTTTTTTTTTTTTTCTAATAATGTTCGCCCAATACAAATTCCAAAGGCCACTCAATTCCTAGTGTTTCTGTTTAGAGCTGTATTAGCGTAAGAATTGTTAAAAAAGATAACTGGGAAGTCGGTCATTTTCAGTTTTGTGCCATTCACGATAGACGGTTATATTAATTTATCTTTCGATACATGACTGACGAAATATTGTTTTTTTTTTAGGTTTTTTTTTTTTTTTGTTTATAGACCAGTTTCCATCCAAGTCTATAGAACCCGGCCTGTTCTGTTTTACCCATTTTTGGGTCAGAGAAGAAGAGGATTCAAAATGAAATTCCCAAGGGTATTATCACGTAAATGAATGCAATGGATTCGAAAATTTTCATCAAATTATGCCATGCGTGATACAAAATGATCATGTCATCTTTCGATACATGACTGACCAATTAATGATTTTTTCCAATGACTTTTGTGTAAAATTGCCATTTTTTTTTCTGCAGTAGACCAGTTGCCATCCACGACTATAGAACCCGGTCTGTCCTACTATTTACCCATAGCTGGGGGAGAAATTAGAGGATTCGTACTTTTCCCACGGCACCTAGGAATGACAATGGATTCGACTGAATTAAATTTTTCTCCGATTAATTTTTATTTGGCGAAATTAAAAAAGACAGACAAATTTTCAAATTTTGGAGAAATCAAGATTTAATTAGATCAGGCGAAGACGTTTAATAGTACATAGATATTCAAGTAGGTTTTTTTCTTTGCGTTTTAAACAATCCTAAACCAGGAAAAAAAGACAAAAGAAGGTGAACTGGACGATTTTTTTTTAACTTGTTATTTATTTAAGTGTAAAATTTAAAAAAAAATCAAATGTAGATAAGAGCAATAATTTCAATCCACTAATTAGAATGAAAATTATATTCAGGCTTTCCCCCATTCTGGGGTTTCGAGGAAGGACATTATTATTATTATTTAGTAGTAGTAATTTTTACATTAATTGATTTTGTAGTAGCATTTATTATTATTATTATTATTATTATTTTCTTTGATTTCTGGTAATACCTTTTTTCTTTCCGGGTTCCGCCCAGGGACCTAAGGTTAGAAATGGCATCATGACAATTTCCACTGACAAAAAAAAAAAAAAAATGACATAGATAAAAGCCCTTCGTAAAGTGTGGGCTGTACTTGTCAGAACAATTTTTTTGTATCTCCTTGAGGCATGGACTTTTTGCCCTTTAATTAGTCTACTGCAATCTTTTTCCAACCAGTCCTTGGGCTCCAACTAAACAGGGATTATTGATTTTCCCATATGCCACATTTTTTTCTATTTTTAAAGATTTGTAATTTTTATATTATGCAATTGAATATCTTCATTCGAAACAGTTGATTATTATTCTAGATTTTTAAAATTCATTTTGATTATTATTTCATTTTTTTTTATTAATTATGTTTTTAAATTAAAAATATTTGAATATATAAATAATAATAATAACATCCATATATTTTTTTATTTTTATTTTTTTCAAAATTTAATGACGAAATTAAATTTTAAAGAATTATTAGAAATAAAAATAAGATTAAAATTATATATATATAAAATTTTAAATTTGATTTATATATTGTTAATTGTTGTCATAAATATTTATATTTTTTATCAAAAATATTTCGAAGATAGATTTCCTAATGGTTTCAATATTAAAAAAAAAACGAAAAACTATTTTATAAAAATTTCAAAAAATTTTTGTTAAAGATATGAATAATAAAAATCAATTTGTTAATTATTTTCAGATATTTTGAAGTCCCCACGTTCAAATTGATTTTAAAATATTCAAATTTATTTGATTGATTCAAAGGAAAGGATTTATTATCGAATTGTTTTAAAAATTGTTCCATCGTTCTGATATTTTGAAATCATTTTTTATTATTTTGTAACGTGGAGGACTTCAAGCTTGTATGAAGATATAAGAACCTATTGTTCTCTCTGCAAATTACTATATCAACGGAAGGGATTTCTTGAACTGTTTATATAAAATAGTTCAATCGACTTTTTTAATATTTTAATATTTGGAAATCATCTTCGAATACGTTTTCACAACATCGCCCACGTGACGACGACGTGATCATATTTAAACGGAACGCTGATATTATATAAAAAAATTCAGTTATCTGTTTGGATTAGTTGTGCTCTTATGTCCATCGTCTTTTTCGTGTTGAAATTTTTTATATGTTCTAATGTTAATTATGTTTTTATGTAAATGTCCTGAAGATGGTCTAAAATTAAATCAGAATGAAAGTAATTTTTTTTCTTGTTGTTAATGTGAGACACACGAGGAAGGAGGGTTGAGAATTCTTAATACTTTTCTTCAAATTTGAGGGAAGAGAGACAAGGGAATCAACATTTAAAATGACATATTTGCTATACATATATTGCAAGTGGGTTTGTATAAACTGGCATAGGAAGGAACTTGGTTTTTTCTGTCATATAGAATTTTTGGAGAGACATGATACATACGTCCTGAAAGGACATGGCACATAAAATTTTTTGTGAGGTCAAAGAGCAACAACATAATATAGGAAATTTGTACGAAAATGTCAGAAAAAGTTTTAGTTTAAAAATACGTAAAAGTAAAGCCTAAAGAAATACGGAAGACCAGTAGTGCAATAAGCAAGAATTCGTTATTTATATTTAAAAGTAAATTTTATTCATTTAACCTTTCAAATCTTTTCCTTTGTAGCCACTTAAAATAAAGACCAGCATTTATTATTGTTATGGTCCGGTTCCTTGTACCACGGTGATAGTCCAATGTAGAACCAGTAAAGAAGAACTCGAACACGGATATGGAATAACACAGATATATTACAAACAGGAATATAGACAGAGAAGTAGAAGTGTTAGTACGAACAATCAGGTTTAGTAGTAATTGTCTGAACGCGACTTTGTTTCGGACTGCTGCTGACTCGACTGACTGACTGACTGACTTCTGACGGACCTCACACCAGACTTCAGACTGAACTCAGACTTCAGACGGAACAGTATTTAGTCCCCCCCCAAGAGGGCATCATGTGGCACAAGGCCGGTTTAACGTGGGATCTCCGAGCCCGTGGGCTCGGCCAAAGATATGCCCATTGAACCCGTATAAACGGGTTCAGGGTCGGTTTACCTCCCCGAAAGAGACTCCGCCCTTCGGCGTAGCCTCGTTCGGGTTCCTCCCCGCCCGAAGGCAGAGAGTTCAACCGATCAGCCGGACGTCCGACTTCGGGCTGAACTCCCTGCTTCCTCTTGAGGCGCAATATTTATCACGTATGGAATTATGTTATTATGGGTATGGTCCCATAACAGTATGGAATAGTCCATTATGTTATTATGGGTATGGTCCCATAACAATTATTCGGTTATTGCAATGTCTAGTTAAAGTTGTTCAGCTCAAATATTTAACGATGTGATGGAGGAAATTCTACGGATGTAGAACTCGCCATGAGCTTATTTTACTGAATAATTAAGATTTATCATAAAATTGAAATAGGAAAACCGTGAAATACTCACGGGTCTTTCTAGTCCGTAAACAAATACAGGAAAACAGACACACATGGTGGAGGGGGGGAGCAAACACCTGTACCGATGGATCGCAAAAAAAATTTAAGACACAAAAAAAAAGTTTCAAGTTAAATGAAATTAGATTAATATCATGATACTCTAAAGCGAGGTATTAGAATTATATCCTTTTTGTACATCCATAACAAAAATAATCTAACCGTTGCTAAAAGGAAAAAAAAAAAAAATAAAAATAAAATTCTTTTTAAAAAATTTATAAATTTATTATTTAATAAAAGAAATAATTGCGAACGGGATGGATTTCAAAATCACACTGAAAAATTATGTCATTTAAATTTAAAAAAAAAAATCATTTTACCCCAAGCATGGCAATAAAGCCATTGGTTACTGAGCGTTGGAGAATGAGAAAAATATACTATTAAGGAGAAAAGACAGTAAAAGAACAAGAATTAAGAAGACAGTAGATAACGATTGACATCGCATTTAAATTTTTCGACATCAAAGTTGACTGGGAAGCAAGATGCCTGAAGGCAAGCGAGAATTGCGACTGAAGAAACTGTTAGCGTAGAACTTACGGTTACATCTAGACAGTTCAGCTTTTATGATTTTAGATCCCAACCGCCAATCAAGTACTGCGCTTAAATTCATAAAGTCTAGGTACTATAAGGAAAGTTCATCGGAACAATTATTATGAATGTATTTATAGAAAAGGCATCTTTGGTTATTTTATGGTGGTATAAAGTAATTCAAAATTTCATGGTAGGCGAGGACCATTAATATTGCAGATTCTTCTTTGAATTTTATTTAAAAATCTTTAAATATGAAGCTGGAATAACAGACCAGATGTGGCAGCAATATTCAAAGCAAGGACGAATGGCAGACTTATAAATATGTAAGATAGATTCTGGTGAGAAAGATTATCAAGGTCAATACAGCGAACCGATTTTCCTAACTGCAGATTATTTTTTAACCATTATCAATGATGAGTTTATTTTTACATTTAACTAAATGTATGGATTTTTTATGTATGTATCTCGAGTTATAGGAATATTTTATTTTTCCAAACATGGCCAGCACATTGTGATCGTGTTCATAGTTGATGTCATTGTTTTTCTTTTTTATTATTAAAGTTGCCGTTATTTTTAGTCTATTTTTACATGTATAAAAATAAACTACAGTACTTCGTCAGTCGTTTTTAACGAAACTTGTATAAAAGAGGGATTGCTTCCTAAATATACAATTTTATATATATATATATATATATATATATATATATATATATATATATCATTTATATATCAAGACATTCATTTCTGTAGTTCGCTACTACCAGCAAGCAGAAAATTATTTTTCTCCTGATGATGGCCATGTTGGCCCGAAACTAGTCATTTACAATCTAAATGAAATAATAAAAAAAACAAAATAATATTAATATACAACCCAGTGTGTCTGAAGATTTTAATTTTTTAATATTTTTATTGTTCAATATATATATATATATATATATATATATATATATATATATTTCATTAAATAATATAGACAAGTGTTGTCTATTTATTTTATGTAAATTCTTTTCATATCGTCTGATAAATTTAATAACATTATCATTAAACGAAAAAGAAAATCACAATTTGATCCATATTTTTAATCCTATCTAAATTTTTTTTATTTTTTATTATCAAAGATGACAATTACTTTAAAGTTATATTAAGCAATATATTAAAATAAAATGATTTTTTTTGTTCGTTTAATGATAATGTTATTAAATTTTTTCAGATGATATAAAAGAATTTTCATAAAATGAATAAAAAACATTTGTCTATATTATTTAATGAAACAATGTATGAATGAAAAATGTCTGTCTAAATCCAATTAATATATATATATATATATATATATATATATATATATATATATATATATATATATAAATTAAAGATTTTTATGTTTAACGTTGTTTTTTATATTTTTTATAAAAATGTCTTTAATAAATAAATTGTCGGACCTTGTCCATTTTTTAATATATATATATATATATATATATATATATATATATATATATATATATATATATATATATATTTAAAGGGGAAAGTGTAAAACTTATATGTTTATGTTTCGTCCTTTATCGGATTAAATTTGCTCACGAACGAGGAAAAATGTTAGGGATTTTAGAAATTTTTATTTCATGTGTATATATATATATATATATATATATATATATATATATAATATAAATATATTATTTTAAATGTTTATTTAAAAACTGTGCTGAGTATCAGTGACAACGTATATAAATTTAAACAATGTGGACATCGATATCAATACTGGATGGCGAGAGTGTGTTTCATGCTTAAACGCAATTGTCAGGCCATACGGTGTTTACTCGTTCCTCCCACCAGATCGAGATGTGACACAATGTCTTTTTAAATTGGGGATCCGAGAACGTGCATGGGGCAAGGAAATTGAAAAGTCCCCCATTTCTTGGCCGCGATGCGGTCAAAAAGGAAATTTCAGGGCTGGGCAATAACAAGCATAATTTTCCTCAGTTGCCCCTCTGTCCTTTGACAGAGAAGCCCAAAGACAGAGACGCATTTGAGAGATGATAAGCCTGCGTTAGAAACTCTCCCAAGGAGGAATTTGTACGCTCACAAGCCCCCATACTTGTCAGGCTATATTGCATGGAAGAGTAACTCGACGATTTATATACGTTTGGGAGGGTGGGTTACTTCCGGTTTTTACCCCTAATCTCATAGCCATTAAACAGGTCTAATTACCATGGGTTATTTCCGCTTTATTGAAATTTCGCGACAGTTATTATATGGGATTGGTCGCCATTATTTAGATCATCACGGGATGGGTAATGAGTTTAAATGATGCTTATTTATGTCCTTTTCACTTTTATGGGTTCTGCAGTTTAAAATTTGCTTTTATGTCGCTTACTTTGGTAATTTATTTTTCGTCTATTAACACTCTCTGTAAAATTTACTCTCATTCCCAAAATTATGTAACCCCTAATCTCTCAAATCTGTAACCCCTTTACTCTCACCCTCTGTAACCCCTTTATTTAGACAAGAACCCTCTGTAACCCCTTTACGTCATTTATTCCTCTGTAACCCTTTTTAAATCACCCCTCTGTAAAAACTCTCATTTTCAATCTGATAACCCTTTTTTACTCTTTATATTTCTGTAACAAATTTACTCTCAATCTTGCAAATACTGTTTAATTATTTTAATCTTTTCTTTAATGCCACCTCTGTAACCCCTTTTGTAATTGAAAATGGTCTAGCTGTAATGAGAGGAAAAATCACTCCTAAAATTCTGTAACCCCTTTTACTCTCATATAACACCCTCTGTAAATTCAGTTGATACTCTCATTCCCACTCTCTGTAACCCCTTTACTCCCACTCTCTGTATTTATGTTTGTGGGTTGGTATTTATTCCTACATTTTTTTTAAAATTTCATTTATTTCAGTACATTTACTTGTTTTGTTTAAAGCAGTGGTTTTCTCTTCGTGGTCCCTCTCCCCCTCTGCTCAGCTGCTCCTGCTATATATTTAGAAATCCTGGATTAAACCCAAATAAGAATCTTGAATGTTATTGGTTCTGACCTGGCATCTCGGCCTCAGTCCCTCTGTCTTTTCTACAAATACTTAAATAACAACTGTCTATATGCACTTTCCTCTATTATTCATTTTAAATTTTAATATCTTTATCCCCACCCCCCAAAGACAAATTTTACATAGTGATTTTCCAAGCGTAACTCAGATGTGGCACAATGCCGAAAGTAAGGGGCACCCAGTGAGGATCGAACTCACTACTCAGTCGTAATTGTTCTAGCGAGACAAGCTTGCTAACCATTACACCACCCGGTGGTGCCCAAAGGACAAAGTTTACATATGGGAAGTACTTAGGACGTCATATAAAATTTGAGATATTATTGTCGCTGTAGCAAAAATGGTAAACGATGTTGCGGGTCCGATAAGGATGTCGACCCCACAAGCTTTTGGTAGAAAGGTGTGAGACAGCTAAGACAATAAGGGGACAAAGGCAGAGGTTTATGAAACAATAAATGTCGAATTTATTTATCCAAAATGTACAAGAGTGTACTCTGGAGGAATATGCTTGTATCGGTGTCGGCTCCGGTATGAATGGTTTCCTTCATGAGAAAGTTGATTCGATAGTAGTGATTTTAACAAGCGTAGCTTAGATGTGGCACAAAGCCGAAAGTAAGGAGCATCCAGTGGGAATCGAACACACTACTCAGTCGTAATTGTTCTATTGATTTCCCCAATTCGTAAAGTTTTGGAGATATTTTAAACTGAATTTAAAACAAACGTTTTAAAATTCACAAAGTATTTGTGTTGCTTTAAACTTGATATACGAATTAAAAGCTTGTAAGATCACTAATTTTTGTTCGGTTATTTTACAATTTGACTTTTTAACTGTTCCTTCGTGATCCGGGCACAAATATCAATGTCGGATGTTCAAGCTCGAGATGAAGGACATTTTCAATCATCCTGATTCCCCAAAAGTTATATGTCCATGTAGACCAAGTGTGGTCCGACTGAGAATGGTTTCAGGCACATGGACGGATAGAGAAAATTTGCCCTTTATTTATTTAGATTATTCCAGATTTAATTTTATTACTTGAACACCTGTAAGTTAGTTTAGGAAACATATAATGCGTTTTATCAAACTTTATATTTATTTACAAAACAAAATTTACAAAACATTTTATTTACAATAAAAAATTTTTTTGCTCGTCTTATAGTATTATAAAAAATTTTTTAATAAAACTTTTGTCTTTTATTACATTTTTGACTGTCGTCGAAAAGAAACTGACTTAAAAGTACATTTAAAAATAACAGAATGTGTATTTTAATGATCATTTGGTATTATTGTTCTCATCTTTGTCACCATATTTATTACAAATGTTTCGGCCCTTCAGTATCTGTCTATATTTCTGAGATGAGGTATTATGTACACTATTTACATTATGCGGACTATTGTCCTCATCTTTAAGAAGCCATATTTATTACAAATGTTTCAAAACTTCAGTATCTGTCTATATTTCTGAGATGAGGTATTATGTATACTATTTACATTATTCCGACTATTGTCCTCATCTTTGTCGCCATATTTATTACAATGTTTCGGCCCTTCAGTATCTGTCCAATATTTCTGAGATGAAACGTATTAAAATGTAACTATTTGTCTATTATATAGGACTATTGTCCATTTCCAAAAAATGTTTCTGATAAAAAGAGAAATATCTATTTAATTAGAAATTGTCCCCATCTTTGTCGCCATTTATAAATATGTTTCCCCCTTGAAGTATCTGTCATATTTATAGGTAAACAAAACAAGAAAAAATTATGCGGGCTATTGTCCTAAATTGTTAAATTAGAACAAAAATAAAAATTTATATTAAACCCCAAAAAGGAAATTAAAAGGAGTTAACATACTACTCAGTGACCCGTTGTCACTAAAGGTTCAGATTATAAAACATTGAAGTTGCTTTCAACATTAAAAAAATCGTCTGTTTGAAGAGTGCTGAAATAAAAATACTTACTGTACAAACAAATCCTATTTTTAAATATATATATTTTACCCATGACATTAAACAACATTAAAAAAAACGATAAATACCTTGTCCCGAACATTAATTTATTTGCTAGACAACAGGATAAACTAGACAACAAAACAAGATTTAGCAAAAATCGACCTGGTGTCAGCATACCATCAAGTCAAAATGCACCAAAATGATATATATATATATATATATATATATATATATATAAACAGCACTTATTTCTCCTCTCGTGTTGTACGAATACAAATTTGTAGAACCCAAATTCTACATTATTCCAAAATAGTTGGGTCAAATCTGTGCAAAAAAGTGGATCATAGAAATCTTTCAAAATTCATACACTTTCAAAAAAAAAATCTCGAGCCCTCATTGGTTAATAAATATACAAGTAGGCGTGACTATCCATCCACGCTTAACTAATTTTTACATTTCTGTGAGCCACCCAAAGCAAATAAAAACAGAACCTCATTCACACACGCCAGTGAGCATTGTGACATTAAACGAATTGTAACTAAACTTCACGTCACACAATCTTGAGTTTTTTGCCCATACGAACATTATACAACTTAACGATATTCACACTCACTCACCAGTGAACTCTGTTCCCATTCACTCACCAAATTCCTTAAGCAGAAGTTAAACAAATTCCTGCTAACAAATCAACTTTATTTCTCAACATTCGAGAACATTGTAGTACATAAAACAATCAAAGGTAGATAATTTTGTAATTTTTTAATTTTGGGGTAACTTTACTCCAAAATTCGCTTGAGGATGAAATGCAACTAATGTCTTTAATTTAATTACAAAATTAAATTTGGACCTTCCATTTTTGAAACATGGTTAGAACTGTGTAGCGGAAAAACCATATTTTAAATGAATTAATTTATAATATATATATATATATATATGTATTGCTTAACATATTTGTAGAGTGAAAAAAATTGTATGGGTTGATTTGAGTCGTCAACACCATTAAATAAATGGTAACCACCAAACTTTTCACTACAAATCCATGCCATTTGGACTAAAAGAATGCAGCATCCACTTTTCAAAGATACACGGACAAGACTTTTCAATATTTTGACTGTGTATTTACATACATCGACGATAGTTTTATTTTTAGCAATGATTTTTCAGCACACATAAAAGACGTTGAAACTTATAAAATCCTACTTGATGATAATCTAAAACTTTCGATAACAAAGTCAACATTTGATGTGACTTCAGTCGATTTTTGGGGTTATAATATTAGCTCTGACGGTAGTGGAATTTAATTTGAGAGCCACGACTGCAATATTTTACAAGTTCACATTATTCTTTCTAGCCAATTTTCCAATCCTCATTCCAACCCTTTTCCTTGCTTTCAAAACTGGCTCCCAAAGCCTTGATTCTTATCAGAGATAAGAATATATTTTCTGACTAACAAGAAAGCTGGAAAATATAAAAAGGAATTCCACCACCATTATTCTTTCCATGGTGCCATAAAGTCAGGGGGAAACCTCACAGTTTGTTCACTCCAACCTGTTTTCATTACTTTCAAAACCGGCTCCCAGGGCCCTGATTCTTACTAGAGATAAGAATATATTTTCTGACCAATGAAGTGCCAGAAAATTTGTTTAACATTTTTGGAGGGAAAAGCCCCCGATTCTTCTGAGCCTACTAAATCTCCATAAATTTGGAGAATCTTTGTGTATTTGGCAGTGAGAATTCGACCACCGTCTGTGAGGTCGACGATAGGAAGCACCAGTCAACTTCAGAACCACTTTCAACCAAAGAACTACCTTTCTAAAGGGCAGTCGAGAACATCGGCCACATAGGAGACACCTCGGACAGTCCTATTGGAATTTAATTTGAGAACAATATTTTACAAATTCACATTCTAGCTTATTTTTCCAATCCTCACTCCAACCTTTTTTCTTACTTTCAAAACCGGCTCCCAAAGCCTTGATTCTTATCAAAGATAAGAATATATTTTCTAACCAATGATGGGGCCAGGAAATTTGTGTAACAGTTTTGGAGGAAAGTTCCTGATATTTCTGAGCCTCCCAAATCTCCATAAATTTGGAGAATCTTCGCCTTGTAGCGACAGGGGTTACCATTATTGTTTATTTCCGACGGGATCACCAATATGTATAGCGGTAGTATTACCATTGTTGTTGTGAACGTCGAATGACGAACGTCGGGGTCATCATTATTGTAAGTGATGGTGTTATCAATAATTAACTTTGGCTAGGAAAGGTGAGATTAAGGACAATGCGTGGACGCAATGCAATTTATATTTGACGTAAATAGCACATAGAATAATATACAAAACTGAACTGAATGATTTCAAAACATAACAGTTGAATTTATTAATGTTTGATATACATGCATGCGAACTGAAAACGTAGGACAGAGTCGTGTCCCTTTGATTAGGTATTAGTTGTACCGAAGTTCATATTAAGAAGAAGTAATATTAAACTTGTAATTTAGAAGAATAAAGTTTGGACTTGTGAATTCTAAAGTTGGTAAAAGTTCAGAAGTGATTTCAGAGTTCGTGAATGTTGGTAATTTTCAAAACCAGTTCCCAAAGTCCTTATATTTATTTACAAAACACTTTTATTTACAATATTTTTGCTCGTCTCCCATTATTATTATTATTATTATTATTATTATTAACAAAATCTTTAACATTTTGCTGTCGTCGGTCCCGACTTAATGTTACATGAAATAACAAAGCGTTATTTTTAAATCATATATATTACCCGTGGCCCGTTGAGTCGTTGAATGTTCAGATTATAAAACAAAAGTTGCTTTCAGCATCAAAAAAACTATCCGTTTGAAGAGAGTTGAAATAAGAGATGGAAAGAGATAGCGTTTTTTTTCTCCATTTTCTTCTCTTCCCTCTTCTTACACGATAATAAATTTACATCTTTCTTTCACTCACTCTCTATATATGACTTCTGGCAAACACACAAGCAAAGTTCGCAGACTTTCATAATAATAATAATATAATAATAAATATATATATCTGAAGTCATTGCTTGTCAGATCTATCTATCTATCTATCTATCTCTATCTATCTATCTATCTATGAAAACGCTTTGATATTTTGAATCTTTTTTATTGCAGCCCAAGCTTTACAGATTTTTAGGATAAACCCAAATTCGAAAAATATGGATGAAGTAAGTCAAACTTAATCTATCCATTTAATTATTCCGTCTCCCTTCGATAATGACTCTCCACAGCTTCCAGTGCTTTCTTTTTCTTTGCGGTACTTTTTCATGTAGTTTACTAGTTGTTATCTACTGCTTCTCTTCTCTTTTTGATCTGTCCTGTGAGTGTTAAATTTTCCATGCCTTCTTTCTTCATTATGCTTTCGTTTCTCTCTTTCTGACTTCTATCAACCGTCTCTGTGTTAATCACATTTTCATAGAACTTCCTCATTTATCGCATGCTCTGTCCATGATAGTCTCAATGCTGATAAAACCACTTATTTTTTTTTATTTAATTTTTCTTTTCTTTTTTTTTTTCACATTTTTGACCAAAATGTTCTGGTTTTACTCAAACGAAACAGTTTTTGATTTATCTTCTTTTTTTTTTTTTTTCCTCACAAAGAAAATGGAATTGTCCATTATTTATCCGAGGAAATGGCAGTAAATAAGTAACAAAAGAACAAACAGAATTATATGTATTATTTATATTATTCGGACTGTAATCTTCATTGCCATATTCTCAATGAGAAGCAATGAATAACAAGAAAAATTGCAATATAAGCTCAGGTAAAAAATGCAATAATAATAACAAAAAAAATGCAATATGAGCACTGGTAAAAAAAAAAAAAAAAAAGATGGATGAGCCATTAGGTTCATAAGTCCCAGAAATTCATCCACAGACGTCCTCAAAGACACATGGCTCAGTGGATAAAGACTTTGGTTACATCCAGTGATTAGACTCAAAGAGTTAACCCGAGAACACTAACCATAGGTACACAGACATGACAGAATTGAATAGACGCTCACAGAAACCGTTTATTTTATTAAACAAGTAATTTATACAAATGAAGTAATTATAAATGGTCATAAATTTAATAACTAATACTTGGTTGACATCCCTTTTGCTTTTTTTAATGCAAGGAGCCTTCTAGGCATGCTAACGATAAGTTCACGAATATCATCTTGAGGGATTTCTTGCCATGTTTGACGCAATAATCCTAAAAGTTCGGGCTTAGAAGATGGCTTCCTGTTCCTTTTGCGGAGTTTTCGATCTAATATGCGCCAAAGGTGTTCAATAGGGTTAATATCCAGGGACTGACTTGGCCATGGAAGTTTATTGATCCCATTTTGTCTCAACCAATGTTGCGTTGCTTGAGCAGAGTGACATGGAGCTTCATCTTCCATAAATAGGGAGCCAACTTTGCTCATTCTACTACTTGAGGATATTGGAAGGAGCCCTTTCTTTAATATAGAAACGTATTTGGTTGAATTAATGTTTCCTTCACACTCCACAAGCTCTGAGCGAACATGACACTAAATTGCACCCCATACCATTACTGAAAGGACCCCATGTTTTTACTGTTGGCTGCAGTCTTTTTTAAATCAAACTCTTGACTACAGAGTCTCCATGCCCATACTCTTCCACTGTCGGAAAAATAATGCAAATCTTGAATCATCAGAGAAAAAAAACAGTGGCCCAAAAGGTCACAGGTCTCTCCACCATCTCATGAGCGCTATCCTTTCTGCATTTGATATTGGCTGGACGGAGAAGTGGTTTCCTTCTCGCAGCTCTGCCATAATAGCCCAACTTGTGAAGATACCTGACAGCTGTTCTGGGACTGACATCAACTTGTGTTGCTATGTCAGAGGCCTTGCAACGTGGATCTTGTTCAACATTTCTTTCGACAAGACGCATGGTTCTTTCAGAGGGCCCAAGGCGGCCTGGGTGAGATTTTGTGCACTTCTTGCCCTCTCTGGTGAATTGTACGATCACTCTATTAACAGTAGAAAGGGGTATTGAAAGATTTTCAGATATTTTTCTTTGACTAAGACCACCTTCATGTTGGCCCACAATACATCCTCGCTGAAATTCGGATAGGTCTGATGCACCTTTGGTTCGTGGCATGTTCCAATATTGTTATCTGCAATTTTAATCAAATAATCTAAGTTAATTTATCTTGGTGATTAAAAGAAATCAGAAATAAAATTTATCTTGGTGTCTATTCAATTCTGTCATGTCTCTGTATATAGTACCCAGCGCAAATTTTCCTATTTTTAATTACAATTTTCAGTACCTGATTTTCTTACCTAAATAATGTTTTTCAGTTTCTATTACTGTTAACTCAAAGTGCAAAGTTTAAAGTACCTGTATGTAAAATATTTCAAATAAAGATTTATATTTAATATATTTTTTTCATATTTTCAAAATCGGGTAGGATATACCCATGGTTAGTAGGGGTGTAACTTTAATTAATGGTTAGTGTTCTATGGTTAAATTCAGTTGTGAACCAAACACTTGGAAAGTTGAGTTAAAGGGAAATAACTGAAACATACACAAGAGGCGTGGCACGTAGAACTAGAAGAATCTAAATAAAGGGTTCCGTTCGAAATTTCAATCACCTGAACGTACAACGGCCGAAAAGTTGTGAATATGGCAATGAAGATGAGGATAACAGTTCGAATAATGTAAATAATACAAGTAATCATGATACCTCATCTCAGAGATATAGACAGATATTGTAGAATTATATGTTAATAATATCGGTATATTTACAAAGAAGAGTTATCACCATTTTGAAGAATATGCTAATGAGTGCCGGAGTTTCAGCGGGAAAAGAAATAGGACAACCCTAATCCGGAAAAAGCTATAATATTGTGTTCAAAGTATTTAGTTTTCAGCATTAAATAACACATAGAGGTTGATATGCCACTAAAAAAAACTCGACCAAGTTACCAACATGACAAAAGCTCTTTCATGACAGCCAGTCAGTTATGTGCCATCCGTGATACATGCTTAAGCAATCATATATCTTTCTATACATGACTGACGAGGCAGATTTTTTTTTACTGCAGTAGGTTGCCATTTCTTTCTGCAGTTACCATCCAAGGCTATAGAACCCGGTCTGTCCTGCTATTTACCCATAACTTAGAAGAGTATTCATACCTTTCCCAAGGGTATTACCACATAAGGAGGGATAGGAAGGGCATTGTTAATATCTACAAAGGATAGGATGTTGTGGAGAGCCATGATCCTCAGCTTTCTGAACGGACACAACAGAGAGAATTTGGAAAAATGTAGTAAGGGTAATAAAGATTTATCAATAATTTTATAGTATACTTAATGTTTTTCTGTTTGGTGGGGGTAAAGGATGTTGTGGAGAGTCATGATCCTCAACGCCTGAAGGGACACGATAAAGAGCAAAAGAAGAGGAATATTCAGTCAGTTATAGCCATTTCTGATATTTATTTAATGATCATGTATCTTTCTAGACATGACTAACGAGGCAGATTTTTTTTCCTGCAGTAGGTTGCCATTTCTTTCCAAAACAGTAGGCCAGTTTGCATCCAAGGCTATAGAACCTGGTCTGTCGTGCTATTCAACCCATAGCTGGGAGGAGAAGAAAAGGATTCATACATTTCCTAAGGGTATTAGCATGTAAGTGAATGTAATGGATTCGACTGGAATTCGAACTCGGTTCTCCGATTTCCTCAATCCGAGTCGCTCTCCTAGTTCAAAAGTGAATGTAATGGATTCGACTGGAATTCGAACAGAGTTCTCCGATTTCCTCAATCCGAGTCAATCTCCTAGTTCAAAAGTGAATGTAATGGATTCGACTGAATTTAAACTCATTCAAATTTCCTCAATCATCAGTCGCTCTCAAGTTCAAAATTGAATGTAATGGATTCGATTGGAACTCGAACTCAAAGAAATTTCCTCAATTCGAGTCGCTCTCCCAGTTCAAAAGTGAATGTAATGGATTCGACTGGAATTTGAACTCGACTCTCCGATTTCCTCAAAATTAGTCGCTCTTCAGTTCAAAAGTGAATGTAATGGATTCGACTTTTTTCGAACTCGGCTCTTCGATTTCCTCAATCCGAATCGCTCTCCTAGTTCAAAAGTGAATGTAATGGATTCGACTGAATTCGAACTCGGCTCTTGATTTCCTCAATCCGAGTCGCTCTCCTTATCAACAGTGAATGTAATGGATTCGACCGGAATTCGAACTCGGCTCTCCGATTTCCTCAATCCGAGTCGCTCTCCTAGTTCAACAGTGAATGTAATGGATTCGACTGGAATTCGAACTCGGCTCTCCGATTTCCTCAATCCGAGTCAAATGTTGTGTTCAAAAGTGAAAATAATTTGATCGACTGAATTCGAACTCGGCTCTCCGATTTTTCAATCCGAGTCGCTCTCCCTAGTTCAAAAGTGAATGTAATGGATTCGACTGGAATTCGAACTCGGCTCTCCGATTTCCTCAATCCGAGTCGCTCTCCCAGTTCAAAAGTGAATGTAATGGATTCGACTGGAATTCGAACTCGGCTCTCCGATTACCTCAATCCAAGCCGCTATCCATTACTCTTCCACATGACATTAATCCATATAATATCCAATAATTTCTTGAAGAAAAACTGTATCCCAAAATATAATTTCAACAACACTACAACATAACACGGCCTCTAGTAATCATGTCAAACTTGTATGTGCCATGTATTCAATTGCGAAAGCAGAAAAACATATATTTTTATTACTTCAAAGCTGTCAACAAAATTCAATTTTGGCATTAAATAAACAAAAGCAAAGAGATAACACCTTTTTACCAGATATGTAGGCAATTCGACAAAACCTTAGCACACATTGTTAATGAGGGCCGAAGTTTAACTCGGAATGTGTAAAAAAAAAAAAAAATGGTGACACGGACAAGTTTTTTTTAAGCGATTCACCCCAAGTAAGGCGGGAAGCCACTAGGACGCAAGGGGTTACAGAAGATTTGGAGCAAGATCAGATAGGAGTGATAGAGGAAAAGATGAAGAGAAGGATAGTGGATAGATCAAGACAACTGGAGATGTCGATTATCATTACATTTGAATATTTGGGGATTATAGCTCTCAGGGAAACTGGA